TTTCTCTGTAGCAGCTAACATCCCACAACAAACTGCCCTCGGAAATGCTTACTCAGCTCACAGAGTAAATAAGGGTTTTGGCAAACTGTGAACTCATTCTCTTATAACTGTATTAATCTCCTTAAATTTACTACTCATAGAATCCTCCACCTTTCTTTTGCAGCAGTGAGTGACACATTTGGCAAATGTAAGGGAGTTCTGACATTTGGCAAATGGAAGCTTCCTTGAGTTTCCATTTTGCCCCAGAGTATACGTCTTCTGGTATCAAATACCATACACTGTATCACCTGATGGACTGCAATTGGTGCTTACAAGGTTAATATTTTATTCTTGACTAAATCTATAGCCACACATAAGGAAAGAGTATTTTAATTGATTGTGAACACTTAAAGATATGAAAAAGTATTTTTATTTCAGTCCACTTACAGGAATCTGCTGTAAAGAGCTCTGAGATAAAACCACTGTGCGTAGTTAGAAGACACATAGTCAAGAATAAATTGAGAAGATCTTGGAACAATTACTAATATTAATTGTTTATATTTAGAAATAAATTCCTGTCACTACACTTGCATATTTTTTTGGCTGTCTTATCGAAAACTTGTTAAATTTTAATGCCATAGTCTGCTCACAGACAGATAAAGGTTTGGCAGAAGACCTGTATTCTGAAAAAACAACTTGAAGACAGCATGCATGCATATTCAACATCAAACAGGTATGGATGACTTGTCTAACCACTTAATGCCTAGCACATAGCAGCCCATTATTAACAACACAGGGCTGGGAAAACCCTTTTGAGACATCAGTTCCAGTTCCCCACTCCTACAGGCAGCAGCATTAAATTGTGTACTGTCAAATTTTATCTTAAGGATATTAGGTCTTGGAATAGTCTTCTAATAAGATCAACAAAGAAGGGAAAAAAAATCCTACCCACTCACAACTCCCCCCCCCCCCCCCCCCCCCCCCCCCCCCCCCCCCCCGCTTCCCACAAATTTAAAACTCT